CTGGTTTCCAATGCCGCCACTTGTTGGCCACTGCCAGGACATCCGGGGCCTCAATCGATCCGGAGAGGATCCACTCCTCGCGGTCCCGGATGGCCTGCTCCATTTCCAGTGGAGAATAGGTGTGCGATTGTCTGGCGCCTGCCGCACGAAACAGAAGTTGTTGCAGGGTCTTAGTAGCGAGCTCCAAATCCGCCTCCTCCAGCGGTTGTGGTTGGGAGCCGAGTATCCTTGCGAGGATCAAGTTGTAGGTGTCCGAGGCCACCAGGACATGGTTGCCGTCAGGTGCCAGCCCCACGATTCGTGTCCACGGTCGCGGGTCAAAGACCACCGCATCCGGGTTGGCAACCTGGTCCTTTTTGACCCATTCCAGGCAGCACGCCACGAGGATTTCCCCGTCCGACTGCACTGGTGCAAATCCAAGGTCATGCAAAATCAACTGGAACGCGGTTGGTACCCCAAGGAAGGTCGTTCCAAACGGGGAAGGGAGGCGGGGCCTCCACATCATCGTGATCCACTCGAGCCAGGAGCCTAATTCCTAGGCGCAAACCCCAACCAAACAACAGGGGAGCCCCCAAAACCCCGGAAAGCCCATCCCGAAACGGGGGAAAAGGGGGGGGGGGGACCCAGGGAGCCGCCCCGGAAAGGGAAGAACCAAACAAGGGAGGGGAGCCAAGGCGCACCCCGGACCAGCCCAAGCGCGCCAATTTTTCTCGCCTGGTACAGGTCTAGGCCTGTGCTGTGCCCAGGGGGGGATATCAGCGCCCTCGGCAGCTGTCCCCCCCGGGGTGCGCTGCGAATCCGTTCCGGATGGCCGCAGTGCTGTATGATCATACGGCCCCCTTTGCAATGTCGTCAATGCGCTTGAGCGCCGCCGCCTCCGGATTCCGGAGAATCAGCTCCCAGATGGCGTTTGAAACATGGCCGGTCTGGGTGATGTGGCTGAACCTAAACCGGGGGACTTTCTGGTCCACCACGGAGACATCCCGCAGCGGGGCAGAGGGCTCTACCCGGCGGTAGAACTCCAACCGCTCCTTGACCCAGCGGTTGTACAGGCCATCCGGCGGCTCGTCCAGCACCAGCTGAAGGATGGCCTTGCCGGCCCGGATCTGGAGGAGGCGGGTGCCCCCTCCCCCGGCGCGCCAGTACCCCTTGCAGTACTTGCACATGTAGCCCCCCCGGGTCTCCCCTTTTGTCTTCGGGATGAGTTCCCACGGGGTGACGGAGCTCAGGACCAGGCCACACTCCATGTGCGCCCAGAAGACATGCTTCGTCTCCGCCGGATAGTTCTTCTTCCGGTAGTCCTTGCCCACCACGCCGTGGACGTTGTCCGATGTGATGGGGGGGTAAACGATCCCCTCATCGCCCTCTCCTCCCCTGGGGCGGATGTCAGGGCCATCGGCACCTGTCCGGCACCCAGGGGCGGAGGGGTCAAGGCCCATCAGCTTGATCATGTCGTTGGTGTAGCCGAGCTTGCGGTAGATGGAGGGGGCCACTGAGTCGGGGACTGCGCCGACCCACCACTGCTTCGTGTTGCAGCGCCAGTTGACCTTCACCTCCGCCAGGGCCCCCGGGCCTCCAATGCGGTCCATGAGGGCCTTGTACACCTCTGGGAACTGCTGGAGACTCTCCACCGGGACAGATATGCGCTCATACCAGGATCATCTGTTCCTTGGAGTCCGCCACGTCCTGGACCGGGAGCTGCATCACCTCCGCCGGGGTGTCCGTGAGGAAGGCCCGGGCCGCGAGGACCTTGCCCATGGCCCGGTAGACCAACCGCCACTCCGGTCCTGTCTGCGGAAACGGAAGGCCCTCCTCCTTCAGGAAGCACCGCGCGTCTTCCTTCAGGGTCTCCCAGCCCTCCAGGCGGATCTGATTCTGGGCCTTGTTCTTCGGGCCCCGCTGCCTAGGGCCCTGTAGCAGTGGCAGGGACTCCCAGACTCCCCAGAGCTGGTGCAGGGTGAAGTGGAAGTGTCCAGGACGAGATCTGGCGCGCCCAGTGGAAGTCCTCATCCGGATCGTGGGGGGCCGCCCAGAAGATGGAACGCAGGTCCTCGAATTAGGGTCGGTCCCCCGCCTTAGCCTGCTGGTTCAACTCATCAACGGAGTACCTGGCCCATGGGAGTCCACCCACCTGGTGGTTCCTGGGATGCGTACCCCTCTCCAGCGCCTCCGGATTCACCTTGGTGAGGTTGTTGGCCCAGTCCGGGACGTGTACGGGGCCCGGTCGTCGGACCCAGCGGCCCGCAAAGATACGGACCTCTCCGACCCGTTTGCTCATCATCCAGCGCAGGACCGCGAGCTGCACCTCCGGGTCCTGGGTATCCAGGCCCCCTGGGGTGGCAGACGGCTTGTCAGGGCCCTCGGCACCTGAGCTCGTCGCGCCAGAGCCCGAGGCTGGGGGGATGGTGGGCTGCCTGTCAGGGCCCTCGGCACCTGGGCGCGCCGCACCAGAGCCCCCCGCCTTTGGAATGGGGATCCCCGCCAGATCCGGCAGATCTGCCAGGAGGGCCGCCGGAAAGGGGTTCCTACCCAGCGAGATGACCGCCTTGGCTTCGAGGTAAGAGTCCGTGAGGGACGTGAGGTCGTCCATGCTGAAATCCCTCCATGCCGTGGTCGGCTCAAAGACCCCCGTCTCAATGGCAACTCGGACCTCGTTGGGCCACGCACTGAATGGAGGCTTGATGGGCTCGAGCATTCTGGTCTCGTGGGCGCCCTTCGCTTGTCTGGCCTGGTGCTTTGCCTTCGCCTCCTCCGCAGTGGTCTGGGCCTGGAGGAGCTCCGGTGTGGGCCTCCCCCAGTCCGCGCCCAGCTTATCCAGCAGTTTTTCGCGGAAAAGGTCCAAGTCCAAATTCTTGAAGAGTAGGCCCCCATCGCCTCCTCCATCAATGGCCCCTCCTTGAAGCTCGTGGAGGACCGCCGCGGATCGCTCCACCGCTGCCACCTGGTCTGCCTTCTTGGCCTCCTCCTGGGCAATGGTGGTGGCGTTGAGCCGGGTCTGGATTTGGGGCCGTCAGGAAATCCTCGTCCAGCTCCATGGGGCAGTTCCTGATCACCGCCCGGACCGAGGAGGGGACAAAGTCCGAGAAGCTGGCCTGGTCCGGGTTCTCGCATGCCATCGGGTCGGTGGCCAGCTCGCTGACATCCACCGAGGCGCTGAGCTTGAGGTCGCGGGCCCGGTCCGTATCAGGGCCATCGGCACCTGCGGACCGGGCCGCCGTCCAGACCGCATTGCCCTGGTCATCCACCGTCAGCTGCCAGTGCGTGCCCGCCATCTCCAGGGTGGCCGAGTTGGTCGCCATGTCAATGGGCTCCGTCTTCTTGCCGCACCCCATACACTTCCTGGCGCCCTTCTTCACCCAGGGCATGGTGCAGCAGGGGCAGATCCAGGATGTGGGCTCCTTACCCAGGGGGCGGTTCTCCAGGCCCCCATACCCCAGGCCAGCGCGCTTGCCGACCTGCTGTCCCGGGGTGCTGAGCCGGGCCTCATGCTCATACTTCATCTTGGCGATGTAGAACGCCTCCACCACACGCTCCAGGCCCCCCTGCTTGAGTTGGGGGCCCTCAAAGCCTCTCAGGAGCCGCTGGACGTCCTTGGCCTGCAGTCGGCGGAGCCTAGTGGCCGTGGTCGCATCAAAACACGGGAAGTCGCCCGCCATCTGGTCATCGCTGAATTGGTAAAGGCCCTCAGAGACTTTGAGGGCCTTGGTGAAGACGCTTCCCCCCGGCGGGGGGGCTGCGGGGTCCTCATCCTCCTCCGAGGACGCCTGCTCCCTGACCTTCGCCATCAGATCACGGCGTCTCTGCCACTTGGTGTCGGACATCGGGAGCTCCTCCTCGTCTTCCGCCAGGAGTTCCTCCATGGGAACATCCTTCTCCGGCGGGTTTAGGAGCTCCAGGAACGCCCCTGGGGGGCGTGTCAGGGCCTTCGGCACCTGCGCCACCCCAGGGGCTGAGTCTGCCATCAGCTCGTCCTCTGCCTTGCGCTTGGCTGGGATGAGTGGGGCCTGCTCCAGCTCATCGGCGCTGGAGAAGAACCGCTCGTCAGGTGCCTGAGGGACCTCAGCAGCCAAGACGGTCCATCCTTCTTCCTCCTTCTTCACGAGGCTTGCCAGGTACTTCGCCATGGAGGCCTTTGCCTTCGCCTTGGCCTCTGCAACCGCGGCACCAGCGTAGGCGGGGGCGTACATGGCTTTGATAGGAGGGGAAAGAAAGATTTCAGATTACAAGACAGAAGGTCAGAGTCCACTTGAGCCAAAATGGTGGCCCAAGTGGACACTTATGAAGAGTCAAGACAAGCGACCACCTGCGGTTAACGCTTTAGCCCAAGATACCCAAAGAGTTCATGACCATCCCTATCAACCCCAAAAAAGCTTGTCTGGTGAGAATGGCAGAATAGCCCCTCTTATGAACATAACATGCATTGCAGCACGTAGTGACCAAAGCGCGTCTGCCCTTCCCCAAAGGCCTTTGGTGACATGTTGGCGTGGAATGACCTAGTTGGCCGACGTGGACAAAAAGGCTAAAGGGCCAATTGCTTTGGGCAGCGTTGTTTGTAAGGTCAAGTGACGTGGTCTGCTTCAAACGCGTACCCTCCCAAACAAGAGTCGGTTTGGCAAACAAACAATTCAGAAATCGGCTTCCTCTTGGAACTTGCTCAGCATTAAACCCCAAACCTAGACCTTAAATCAACTTCAGTCTGTTCTTTGCTGATCATTCTAGTGAAAGGCAAAACTGCAACTTGGTTGACGTTGGAAGGGGAGCAAAAATTTCTTTTTTAGCAGTTAAGTGGGGATTTCCCACTAAAACACAAAAAGCAAAAAATGTAAAATGTTGCAAGGTGGTTCAACACCTTCACCCAGGGAAACATAGTTGTGCACCACCCTTTCTCCGATAGCACTAAAAGGGCGCACACCCAATCAAAATCAACCAGGGGCAAATCAGGATCAACATCCTAAACGTCCCAGCGAAAGTGTAGTGACCTGCACTCACCCGAGGCTGTCCTGCATAGATCTCAGGAAGCGCCCCGCGCGCTCCGTGCCCTTCAGAATCAGACTCCGGAATTCGTCCCCGCCTGAGCTCCCAATCCGTTCCTTTCTGCTGGCCCGAGTGAAGAACAAGTTCAAAGAGGGGACCCTTCCCCCAAGGAAGCACCCCCACCTTTTGGGCCCTTGGGCTGAACCAGGGCCAAGGCTTCTCGAAGGCTCGGGTGAGACTCAAGCCAAAAACAGGCCAAACTAAACCAAAACCCGGCCAATGTGGTCCTTTTGCGGACAAGTGTGGCATACCAAGAACAATCCCAACCCTTCTCAGAAATCGGCAAACCGCCTTTGGAATAGCATAGTAAAAAGGGCACCGCAAAACAAGTTGGAAGGAAAAAAGGCAGCACACAGCAACCACACAAACAAACAACCAAACAACCAAACAAGCAAATACTCAACCCAAACCAAACCACGCCAAAACAACACAACATAACACAAAGCAAGGCAAACCAACCACACAAACACGCAAACACACAAAACAAAACCATTAAAAAAAAAAACGACAAGCATCCCACCCACATAAACACGCAAACAACCAAGCAAGCAAGCAAGCAAGCAAGCAAGCAAGCAAGCAAGCAAGCAAGCAAGCAAGCAAGCAAGCAAGCAACCAAACAAACGGAAGCAAGGAAGCAAGGAAGCAAGGAAGAAAGGAAGCAAGGAAGCAAGGAAGCAAGGAAGCGAAGAAGCCAGCAAGCCAGCCAGCGAGCGAGCAAGCCAGCGAGCAAGCCAGCGAGCGAGCAAGCAAGCATGCAAAACAAGCAAGAAAGCAAGCAAGATAGCAAGCAAGCAAGAAAGCAAGCAAGCATACAAATCAAGCAAGAAAGCAAGCAAGAAAGCAAGCAAGCAAGAAAGCAAGCAATAACGCAAGCAAGAAAGCAAGCAAAGAAGCAAACAAAGCAAGCAAGAAAGCAAGCAAGCAAGAAAGCAAGAAAGCAAACAAAACATGCAAGAAAGCAAGCAAACAAACAAGCAAGAAAGCGAGACAGCAAACAAACAAGCAAAACATGAACAACTACATGGAAGCAGGCAAGCGAGCAAGAAGGCAAGCAAGCAAACAAGCTAGCAAACAAGCAAGCAAGCAAACAAACAAGCAGACAAAACACACACACAAACTAGCAAACAAACAAACGAACAAACAAATAAACATTTGCACACAAACATACAAACAAACAAACAAACAAACAAACAAAGAAGCAACACAAAACCAAACAAGCAAACAAACAACACCACACAAGGCATTGCAAATCAACCCAGACACACTAACACACTAACACACTAAAACACAAACACGCAAAACAACGACAACCGACCGACCAACCAACCAACCAAACAAGCAAACAAGGAAGCAAGCAAGGAAAAAACAAACACCCCGCATACCCATCAAAAGGCTGGATCTCCGCACCCATTGATGGGCCTGCCCTCTCATTGCCTTCTCCAATTAAAGCATGGTTCACGTCAGGGGGTCGATATCGCATTATCAATTATCAAAAAAAACAAGAGATGTGGGCCAAGCCCAAAACAAGCACAAGTTAAGCCTGCCCGCAGAGTCACTGGGGGTCCAAACCCCGGAATAAGCATCCCCTTTTTGCTTCCTTTTGGGAACATTAAGAAAAGTACATAAGCTATTCACATCCATCCCAAGGCTTGCAAACCTCCGCCACCTCTCGCCAAGCATCGGCGCTCCGTTTGCGGCGTGTCTTGCGACCTGCCGCCGCTCTCCGGGGTGGCCACTGCGGATGAGGACGCCTCCGAATCTGCGCCACAACTCGGTGACTCTCTGCGAAGCCCTGCCAAAAGCTCAACTTCCAGTGGTTTGCTTATTTTCTTGCCGGGGCAGCTCCTGGCTCGCCCCTACAGCAGCCTGGGTTCCTCAAACAAACAAGTTCAACTTTTACCCTCCCACTAACTAACATGGAAGTGCAAACAGGCCCTTTCCAAGAGGAAAGTTTTTTTTTTGTACAGGGGTCTGTGCACAAACCCATGTTAGCTGGTGGGAGGGTAGTTGTTTGAGGGAAGACCCATTAGTTGGCAAAAAGTTCAAGTCCTAGCAATTGCACCAAAGAAAAGGTGTGTCTTCTCAACACTGAGGACTCCCTGTTGGCGAAGAAATGTACCAACAGGAAGCCACCACTTTGAGGGGAGCCGTTGCCATTCTGAGAAGCACGGCTCAGTCTGGCCTTTCTGCTTTTTCACGAAGGCCCCCAAAAGGAAGTGTTTTGGAGATTTGGTAAAAACACTTAGCCAGTTTTGTTTTGTTTTGGAAAACTCGCTAAGTTTTTTGGAGATGCTTGTTGGAGTTTTGTCCCTTTACATTCCCTTAGCCATGCAACAAAGGCTGCTCTCAAGAAAATTGGCACAACCACTTCGAATCGCGGGCGCCTTCAGCGTGCGGCCCTTGCGTCGCCACTGGACACAGGCCACGCGCACCAAGTCCAGAGATACCCCCACCTGCGCGCAAAGCTCGTGCACGAAGTCGAGTCCTCAGCTGTGTCTTTGTTTAAGCTTTTCTTGGTGGTTTTAACGGAAACCAATTTATTGTCCTTCTTTCTTTGAATTTTTTTTTGGGGGGGAAGAAACACCCATATGTCATAGAAATGAATGGGAAATGCATGGCCACTCTGCCCTACCTGCATCCATTTGGTGAAGATACGATGGAAGGATAGAGAGACAGATGTCGCTTCGAATGCACTGCACCCGCGACTTCGACCGGTGGTTGTTCACAGCTGAGTTGGTCAACCCCTTGCGAACAGCTTTTAGCTAAAAGCAGCTTGCAGGTGCAACAAAAAAACACAGTGTCCAAAAGGTTAAAGGGGCCCTGCGTGAAACTCTTGCGAGTCCGTAGTTTCCGAAAGGCTGACTCCAGAATCCCTTCAGAAAGTTGGGAAGTGCAACCAGGGGTTGGCACTCAACATGTTCAAACCAACTTCAGAGGCAGCTGAACGAAAGCTAGCCAGCCCAACAACGACATGGACGACCCACTGGTTGCCAAGCTCAATGAACATCCATGGAGTCATTGAGACCCAAACTTGGACCGCAAAACATGTGGGCGAGCTTATGGGAGTATGCTCGTACGGGGGGGGGGGGGAGCGGGCAACCCTGCGGGAGGGGGGTGTCTCCAGGTAAAGATCTGTACACGCGATTCAACTAGGCCGCTCGCCACCCATCAGGCATTGTGAGAAGCTCAGCCCCCAAAGAAGCCAAAGCTTGGACTCTCGCTGCCAGCTTTCGTAACCAGCTGGCTCCCCCCAAAACCTCCAGTCCCAAGGGTCTAGCAAAAGGGCACCCTTGTGATCGAGTTGGATTGAAACGCAAACACTCAAAAAGAAGAAGGAGCACCGAATGACATCCGAGTCTCTGGATGTGCCATCTGGAGGACTCGCGGGCGGCTCCTCCCCATACCTCGGACCGGGTAGACCACGGTAAGACCCGCGTCAGTTGCTCCGAAGTCTGGGTGCGAAAGGGGATCTGGACAAGTCAACCAATTCCTGGTTGTTTTCTACTGCCCTGCTACAAGTTTAACTTTTCGTGGTTTAATGGAAACCCAGTAGTTCGCAAAAAGGTTAAAGTCCTAACATCCACGCGAAATGCACCACAGAATTACTTGTTTCGGTTGCTTAAAACTCACGGTTGCTATGTAGCACCCGGAAATCCCTGGCACTTCAAGTTGACTTTATGCAAGGAGCATGCGCACGACAAGTCCAGTGTTCATGGAGGGTCGTACGACCTAGATGACCTTGCGAATCGCTAAAGCCAAATTCTTGAGGTTTCGCCGTATGGCCAAAAAGCAAGTCAGTTGCAAGTCAAACCTAGGAAGGCCCATACAAAGGTGGTCCTGGTCGTAGGGAACCGAATAAATACAAACAACAATTTGACCCCAGTTCCTCAAACAAGAACCCTTGGGATACTGAGCAGACTTATGGTTAACAAAAAATGTGGCAAAAAAGAGCCTTGGCCGCCATGCACTTGGCGCCCTATCTTGCAACTGGTCAAACCAAAACAACCTGCACATTGAATCCGCCACGATTCCGCCATGAATCAAAACATCTGCCAAAGCTCCGATATGATAATCAAAAGAGCAAAGAAATGCTAGTGTGCAGGCTGGCATGCCATGATTATGATGAACACTAACACTACGTAGGCCAATGTTCCTAAAATGGCACAAACGCACAGTTCATCCAGGCACAACCTGAGATTGGGTGTGCAATGCGCACTTCTCCCCGCGGAAAGCGGAACATAACATGCGAACACCACGCTGCAAACTCGCTCTGTCCACGCACTGTCTTGACGCCACAAGGCGAACTAGGGCCGCCCATATTCGGAAGCTCTAAGCCGACAAAATGGCTTGGGCTGCGCACTGAGCCATCAGCAGCTTCTTGACAAAGGCCTGTACAATCAACAAACGATTTTGAGGGCAACACTACGTCAAGCACAATAGCCTAGCCCTGTTCTGCGATCCAACCTGGGATCTCTCTCCCTCTCTCTCCTGGGCCTTTAGCACCTAAAGGAGGATCTCCTGGCATGTGATCGGACAGTGCTGTGTGTTAGGAAAAACCTCTGTGTTGCATTTATCCCCAAACATCGAGACACGAGTCAGGTCACACTTTTCTGGCCATTTGGCTGTTTTCTGAGGGTACCCTTTCTGGTTGGTTTCGAGGAAAACCAGAAGCAACTCGTTTTGTGGGTCCCCTTTGGGCACAGAGCCATCTTTGACAGGTGGCTTGGACATGGACTGGACGTGCTCCAGCAAAACCCGGCAGCAGCTGACCACGTCGGTGCTGTGATCACCGCACAGGACCTGGACTTGGTTGACGGTGGAAGGGGAGCAAAAAACTATTTTTTAGCAGTTAAGTGGGGATTTCCCACTAAACCACAATAAGCAAAAACGCAAAATGTTTCCCAACAACAACCATGTGGATCCCATCAACCCGATGGCTCAGATCGCTGCCACACCTCCGATGGTCTCGTTTTTGAGGCTGCCCGTTTGCGTAGTTGCCCTCATTGGGCCCCAGAAATGCAAGGTGATCACCTTTTGGGGCCACTACGATGGGGACACATTTAAAAGTCAAAGGGTCGATTCGCCTTGGGCCTTGGCGAGTTTTGGGGTTGGGCTAAAGGGAGACCAAAGGAAAACACATGACTGCCTTTGCTTGCATTGCCCTATCTTAAGACACCTTTGGATAAACGGCCACATGTTCATAGGTGTCCTTGTTGGGAAACTAGATGGCCCTGGTAGTTTATTGAACCACCAGGTGAACCAGGAATCGCCCTCTATTGTTAAACCAAATCAGCCAAAAAGGAGACCTATGCTCATGTTGCTCTCTATCTTTCAAAAAAAAACAGGTGCTTGCTCCATAAGCCCGGCTTCAGCTATTCCCTCTGCCCCAGTGCCGCAATCCATCCCTTTCGGGGCGTCCTCCAAGAGCAACCTCGCCAACCTGGGCCCTTGTTGGGATGCGGCTGACATGGTGCCGACTCAAACTCCCAAAACGGGGCGGGAATCATGGCATGACCTTCTTGGTTGCTGTTGACCCTCTGCAAAAAGGTTAGCTTCTTGCGGGCTTATCAAAAACCAACTTGATCTCCCTTCATTGCAAAGTAAAAGTCGAAAGATCCAACCCTTGAATGAGATATACAGCCACCAAAAAGATCCAACCCAGCAGCAATCAAGTGTTGACTGCCGAAGAAAGCAAAAAAACGAAAACAACAAAAAAAACGGGGGGGGGGAGAAAAAACACACACACACACACACACACACACACGCGCAGTGTTGACCGCCGAAGGAAAAACAACAAAACAGGAACACAAAAAAAACAAAAAACGAAAACAAAAAACGGGGGAAAAAAACAAAAAACACGCACCAGTCTGCCAGGGCGCCAGCTGCGCCCGGCCGCAGCTGGCCTTGTCGCCGCCCTCGCTGCCCTCCCGCAGGGCGGCGAAGAAGAGCGGGAAGGCGGCGGAGAAGGCCAGGTGCCTCGGATTGGCCCACTGGGATTCCTCCCGCAAAATTCGCGGGGAAAAGGGTGGAAAAAGGGATCCCCCCGATCCTCCAGGGCGCGGAGGAAAAGGATGGCAGAGGGGAAAACGCCCTTGGACTTGGGTGCTGATCCCCCAAAGTCAGGGATCCTCTGATGCATGAGAAACACCGATCGGACCTTGCAACTTGCAAATGGTGGTGTCCAACTTTGTGTTGCCGGAAAAAGCAACATGATTCAAATGGTGGCAAAATGTATCTTTTAAGGAGCCCTGTCTCACTTGCGCGGGAAAAGGGGAAAAGATGGAAAAGGGAAACACCCTTTAACTTGAGTGCCGTAGATCCCCCAGCAACAAGCTTTTTAGCTTTTTGCTGGTGAAAAGGAAATATGAGGGGAATCCAAAAAGTTCAAGTCTAAAGATCCAACCCAATAGCAGTAGAGCTTTGGGGCCTTGACTGAAGGTAGACCACACAAGGAAAAAACCAAGGGTAAGAAAGGCCGGCTTTGGGCAGGCCAACTAACCCCTGCCCTGACCTGCTGCCGTGGAACCCACTAGGCGATTGTTGTTCGGACAGGTTGCATGGGTTAGATTGGCTCCTGTCCCGGGTACAGATCTAAGCCGGGAGCCTGGCTTGCGAACTTTGCAGGAAGTCAATCCCAAGGCTCAAGACTATACCGGGCAGGTATGTATGTATGAAATGTATGTATGTATGTATGTATGTATGTATGTATGTACGTATGTATGTATGTATGTATGTATGTATGTATGTATGTATGTATGTATGTATGTATGTATGTATGTATGTATGTATGTATGTAGGTACGTACGTACGTACGTACGTACGTAGGTAGGTAGGTAGGTAGGTAGGTATGTAGGTAGGTATGTATGTATGTATGTATGTATGTATGTATGTATGTATGTATGTATGTATGTATGTATGTATGTATGTATGTAATGTATGTCTGTAATGTAATGTAATGTAATGTAATGGAATGTAATGTAATGTCATGTCATGTAATGTATGTATGTATGTAGAACATGGCACCTGACAACAGGAAGCCAAAGGAAACACCAGCTACCGGGGTTTGGTCATCTCGAAATGGCTCCGAGCAACCGCACGCAACAAGCCAAGGTGCAATTTCGTGGGGGGTATGGGTGCAGTGCCCCTTTGGGCTGGTATTTCAGTGCAAATCAAAAAGAGAAACCGTTACCATTCTAGGAATTTTAGGAAATGGAACCACTCCCTGAGATGGAACTTGTGCCGAGCGAGCCACATCCTTGGGCGCTCCAAATGCTTGCTGAAGGCCTTGGCATAGCTGACCTTCGCCTGAAGCACGGGCAAGTGACCCTTCCCCAGTTGAAGTCAATTCAATGTTGACCCCTTATCAACAACCCCCCGGCTAAGAATTAGGGGTACCGGCCCTCCTGGAAGAAAAGATTCCCCACTAAAAAGGGGGAATCCCCTAAATTTAATACCTTCCATGTGGTTAAGACCCCTGGACAAAATGAGAAAATATGTCCAGCAGTGAAATTGATTCCCTTCAAAAACCCAACTGGGCGAAAAATATAAAATATTCATTTCAGCAAATGGAAAAACTACGCGGAATTGGGTGGTGGGGGGTGTTTAAACATTCACCACGAGCGAAGGGACCCGGCCTCCTCTGGCTGGTTCTTTCGCAAACTTTCCGCGGCCGCCAGCCTTGAGCCATCAGAAGCCAGTTGGCCATGGGATTTGGAACCGCTGGTTCTGGGTAGATGAGAAACCCCTAGGTCCTCCAGTAGAGAGGTTAGAATATGGGTACCCTTTTTTCTGTAGTCTATTTTAGTAGGGGAACCCTCCCCCAAAAAAGTTGGTCAAAGGGCGCTACTGGGGGACCAAGACCCAGTTTCAAGCCATCCAAACCGCCAATTGGAGGGAAGCAGAGTGAGGATGAAGCCAAAATGGCTGTTGTCAAAACCGTTTTGGGATACCATTTTGGGTTTGTCGCTGAATTCCTCACCCATTTTAGAACCTATTTTAGTGGTTGGATTGGGATGTTCACTGGGGGTACGAGTTTTGACCCATGGCCATTTGCAGCTCCCCAACACTCATGGGACGGGCCCTTTCAACAGGCAGGAATTCCAAAATCCGCAGCTGCACGTGATGCTTGTGTTTGCTTGACCTGGATTTCAAGGGGGCCGTAGACGAAACATGGGCCAATTCAGCATGATCAGCACTGAAACTCACCACAAGCCTTTTAAATCGGGAGCCTGAACGGTTGCCAAGACACTCACCGTGCGCCAGGAAGCCAAAGCGAAAGCCAACAAAGATCCGGGGAACCAAAACCAAGACCACCACCAAGCCAGGAAACCAAAACCCGGGAAACACGAAGACCAAAACCCAGCAATCCAAAACGAAACCATCGAAACCAGGAAACCACCAAACCAAAACGAAAACCAAAACCCCCGAAAGCCAACCCCCGGTGTTGGTCGGGATGAGACTGAGGAGCAGCAGCTGCTGCACGTCACCTGTCTCCCCCTCCAGATCCCATTGCAGCGGCAGCCATGCTGGAGCCTGGCGTCAACTGGAAGCGAAGGTCAAACAAGCCATAGCTCTAGTAGCTTCCTTGGTTGTTTCATTTGTTGTTTCTCTTCACCTACCATTTGGGGGGTGGCTTTGATCATGGTAAAATTCTAGGGGCAGCTTAATGTCCATTCTTTCCAGGGATCCGAATCTTTCTTGAAAACCTCCAGAAGCCCAGGTAAAACGGCTGGTTTTTTTGAAAGAATGATAGTTTAAAAGAATGGGGAATCAACCCCTAGAATAGCAGGCGACCCACCTTGGTTTGCTGCTGACCCCTCTGAAATTTGCTTTAGACTTTTTGTGGGTTTCATGGAACCCCCCCTGGATTTCCCAAAAAGTTAAAGCCTGAAGATCCAACCCAATAGCAATCAAGCCATCGTTTTTCGTTGTGTAAGCTTTCAAGAGTCGTTCCTTTGGTTACCTGCAATTTAAGCTTGTTTTGGCCTTTCAACAGTTCATTGATTTGGCCTTTGCTTGTTTCTAACCTGCTGTTCAAGAGTTTTTTCCTTTTAGACTGGTTTTGGCCTTCTCAAGGGTTAACGTGGTTATGGCAAACAAAAGCAGAGAGAGAAGAGTTCCCCGAGCTCATGGCGACTTCTTTTTCGCGCGCCCGGAAGCCTCCACGTAGAGTGAAAAAGCCAACCGGTCCAGATGTGACTCGAAAACATGCAAAACGGACCAAGGAACCAACAAAATCCACCAAGAACACCAAATCAATCAATCAATCAATCAATCAATCAATCAATCAATCAATCAATCAATCAATCAATCAATCAATCAATCAAATCAATCAATCAATCAATCAATCAATCAATCAATCAATCAATCAATCAATCAATCAATCAATCAATCAATCAATCAATCAATCAATCAATCAATCAATCAATCAATCAATCCAATCAATCAATCAATCAATCAATCAATCAATCAATCAATCAATCAATCAATCAATCAATCAATCAATCAATCAATCAATCAATCAATCAATCAATCAAATCAATCAATCATCAATCAATCAATCAATCAATCAATCAATCAATCAATCAATCAATCAATCAATCAATCAATCAATCAATCAATCAATCAATCAATCAATCAATCAATCAATCAATCAATCAATCAATCAATCAATCAATCAATCAATCAATCAATCAATCAATCAATCAATCAATCAATCAATCAATCAATCAATCAATCAATCAATCAATCAATCAAATCAAATCAAATCAAATCAAATCAAATCAAATCAAATCAAATCAAATCAATCAATCATCAAATCAAATCAAATCAAATCAAATCAAATCAAATCAAATCAATCAAATGAATCAAACAAATCAATCAAATCAAATCAATCAAATCAATCAAATCAAATCAATCAAATCAATTTACCTCAAATCAATCAAATCAATTTACCAACAGGTTTACACGTGTTTAACCCCCCCCCTTCTTCAAGCACCTTGTTTTGGTTTCCCTTTGCATGGTGTGAGAGTTTGGCGGTTTACACGCGATTTGAGCTCATCAAACACCCCTCTCCAAATCCGGCAAGTACAACGTTGCTTCTGGGAACCGCGGGAGCTTGCCTAAACAAACCTCATGTGAGTCTCAATCAAAACCGGGTATTAAAATGGTTGACCCGGAACCATGTAAGGAAATACAAAGGCGGCTTTCCGCAACTACGGCTGGGATTGTCCCTTACTACCCTTCATCTACCCTGGTTTTGATTGTAGCTCATGTCATGAAACCCCAGAAAGCAAACATCCTCTAAACCGTGGAAGGTTGTCCCATGTCCCACGCCATAAAACCCCCCCGTTTCAAGCCCGCCCGCCTGCGCTGTGCTTGCCTCCTCCATCTCCGCTGGGCTTGATGGAAATCCAGCGGCAGTGTTTTGTCATTTAGAAGGACCCCTGGCTTTTTTTTGCGAAACCAAAGGCAAGTACCGTCCAAAAAGCAATGGTTCGGGGGTGCTGCCTCATTCTGCTTCTTTGGGGGCGCCCAACGGGCATCAAACTGCTTATTCTCACCTTGCACAATGGAACAAAGTAGCAACCCAAGGCAAACTTTGGGTCAAAACAGGTCAAACCTTCCGTGGAAAAAAGGGTCCCACTTGCGCTCTGCAAGAACCCGCGGTTCAAATCCCCAAACCACCAATCCAAATCACCAACTAAGGACAGGAGCCCTGCAAGATTCTTCGCGCGCCTGGCTCTCGCGATCCTCACCTCAATGGCAAGGAATGAACCAGGAGGGGAAAAACAATCACCTCTGCTCTAACTTGTGGATTGGATTGTTAATTTCAATTTAAGGGGAAGGTTTCCCAGCTACCCTATACACGAACTAGGGGTTCAAATCTTCAAACCACCAATCCAAGACACCAAATAAAATTAGAGATTGGGCAAATTAACTCAATATGGGCCATTCAGCACGAAGGAGGAAACGAACACAATCACCTCCGCAGCTGCTATGGCCAAATGCCTGCAATTGTACCGCGAAATGATGCCTCAGCTCAGCCATCAAAAAGGGCAAGGGACATTCGTTCTGCTTTGACCGGCTAAGCAAGAAACTGAAACTATGAAAACCCTCGAGATCTGACAAAACACCCTTTTTCAGCGGCTAAAGGGGTTCCCTTTTTAGTGGGGAATCCATTCCACAGAAAAGCTTCGGGCCGGGTTGATGACGGCTTGAACAAATGGGGTTGTCTTTTTAAGGAACCCCTTTTCCGTTGGATTTAAGTAAAAGGGAAACCAAGAGGAAACCCAGCATTCTGGTGGATTGCCTAAAAACGATACGCAAACAAGTATCCACGTAAGCCAAGCAGCGGTGAGAGGCCGAATCCATGGAAGCAAACCTGGGACGCCGAAAGTGGGGCTGTGAGGTGCTTTAGCCAGTTTGAGTCATGATCATTGATTGGGGTCTTGGGGAGACGGTGTTTGGGGCGGCTGATTTCAGATTTCCAAGACCTAACAAGTGAAGAACCCTTTGCATGGGCAAGCTCGCTTTGCCCCAGCTGAGGTTATTACATATTACAGTTTGTCCAGTGAGGTCCATTCAAACCTTCCCACCAACAAACACGCTCAGAAAGCACAAGCGCAAAAAGAGCATATTGGATCTATGGAATCAGACGTCCGAAGGCATCATACGAGCAGCGAACATATGTTCACTTCAGATGGAAACAACAGGACTTTGCAAAATGTGTACAGTACACATTTTGCAATGATGACATAAAAAAAGGAACGTCCACAAAAGGCAAACCATCGAGGACAAATAACACACTTGCCCAAGGGCCCGGAAACAAAGCAGGTTGGTTCCTCTCTTGTCCATCCTGGAACCCCTATGTCATTAGTGCAAGTCCAATGAAGGACCCTTTTGCTTTGAGACATTTCACAAAGGCCCATGAAGGCCCATCGAGAAACACACGAGGCCCCCTTCCTTACATTCGGTATCCCTTGCATCCACATGTCCGGAGGACACTGATGAAGAATATTTGATGGGTGGAATGTCAGGTCTTATTTCATAATGTCCCCCATCGAAAACATCAAAACCAACTTTCATGGGCACCTTTCCCATGGCCACAAAACTCTCGTTCCCTTTTCACAACAGAAATAGAAGGACGTCTGGCAAATAGGGGGTGTGGATGCCACTTAAGGCGAACTCAAAGTGACTTGTTTCCTCAAGAGGGTATGAAACAACTAGCCCAAGTCCCTCCATTTGCTTAAGTCCCCTGGAAAAGATAACTCATAATTCCAGTAGTGGCAGATTCCCTTTAAACCCAGCAGGGGGGAAAAACACACACACACACATCTTCATTTCAGCACATGGAAGGGTCCCTTTTTGGGAGTTCGGTGAGTTGCCCCTTTCGATTGAAATGGAGCCACCGGACAACCGAAAGCTTTCGCTCAGCTCTCATGCCAAAGGGCAGGCTGCTGGCGCTCAAGAGGCTGGCGCCCAAGTTCCAGACCTGGGCTTTTGGCCGAAACCAGGCAAGGGGCTCAAGTGGACTCGGAGAAGCCACAAAAAGCTGGCTCAACCAAACAACCAACAACCTAAGCAACCCAGCAACCAACAAACAAAGCGACTGACCAACCAACCAACCAAGCAACCAACCAACAAACTAAGCAACCAAGCCACCAACCAAGCAACCAACCAAGCAACCAAGCAAGCAACCAACCACAAACAAACCGACAGACCAACCAACCAACCAGGATGGGCAAGGTGGTTCACAGACGTGGCTGGATGTCCCCTTCGATTGGCTGCGCCGCTTTTAGAGGTTCCAGAGGGGGAAATGGAGGAAATCCGGGTTGTCCCACAGCTTCAAAGCCAAGCCGTACGGTGGCCAACGTGCTCTAGTCTCTAGACACTATGTCACCTTGCCCCGACATTGTGGACCTTGGCAATCAAGACACAATTCTGAGTGAACAGGCACTGGGGTTCAAATCCCCAAGCCGGTTATTGCAAACATACACGGGCTGGCTTCGTTTGCCGGGAGAACTGCTTGGGTGGATTGGCAAAAAAGTTGAATTTTGTGTTCGTTTGCCACTAGAATGATCTTCCCAAAATGGGGTTAGGAAAATGGCGACCCGAGTCGAAAGGAAACCAAAGGAAATCTAACCGAAGTGCTGCCAACTTGAATAGGTCATTACCCCAAACCTTGGGTTTGAATATGTGATCTACCATGATTTCAGTGAAATAAGATACTGTAAGGTGGCTACCAAACTTTGATTCAGTTGCGCGTGAATGAAGAAAAGGGAAGCGGACAGCTCCCGGCGTTCTCAAAAGGACTGTAATCTGCCAGCATCCTGTCAGCTTCCGTTGTTGGACATAGGATATTTCGTTGGACCTTTAAATATTCACACTATTTCACCAGTAACCAGCAACAAGTCAAGTTTTCTGAGCAAGGGCCCAACAGCAACTAGTTCAGTTTACCTCCCACGAAAACCTGCTCGTTCTTTTCAGGCCGTGCATGCTTCAAGTGGGAGGGTTGGAGGGGGGGTAAACTAACACTTCGCACCCACGACTTTTCTTCGGGGTGCTTCACCTGGGGAATCAAAGGAAACTGCCCGGGAGGAAGCATCGAACCGATCCGCACGCCTCGTCCCGCTTCTCCCGCTCACCTCGAAAAGCAACAAGGAGGACCCAGAAAATCACAGGGCGCCCATGATGCCATGGGAGCGCACGAACCCGCCCCCCCTTTCGAAAAGGAAAGTCGTCTTCCAAGCGGGGCGTTCTATGTTTGGATCTGAGGGAACTTGCAATTCTGATTTTCTGGATGCGAGCCTTTCCAGAATACTCCAAACAAAACACAGGCCAGTGCCCCCCAACAACTGCTTTTTCAACCATCCAAACTCCCAAGTCCAAAAAGCAGTGGTTGGGGACCCAGGTCTGGTGCAAATGGAAAGAGCGTTAGTTTGGAACAGGACGGTTGAACCTTGACAGCCCTGGACCCAGAAGCAAAAGATCACCTTTCGGGGCTACAAATGGAAGGGGACTGAAAGCTCAGATCCGGGCCACTAAGGTGCCCAAACTTTGCCCACTGGTCAAGGAGCCCTTAACCATGTTTAGCGGGCAGCCACAAGGGATTTTAAGGGTGCCACCGAACAAGCAGGAGTAGCCAACGTTTCTGTGCTCGAAATGGGGCCTCTTGGCTCAAGATAGGCTACGCTCTTCTCGACAGGATTCCTGTGCACCAAGCCATGCTTGTTGGCAGGGTAGCGAATCTTTCCACAACACTTCTTCCCCGCAACAGGCGAACTTGGCCTTCCCAAGTTTCAAGTATTTGAGGTCCAAACTCCCGATTTGGTCATGGCTCCTAGGAATCATTCTAACTCTTGTTGAGGATCCTCACCACGTGGATGACCATCCCCTTTCACCGTCCTTCGACCATCCGAGTGGCGGATCGGGCTGTGGCTGGGCGGAAAAATCGGGCTGTCGCTGGGCTCGGGCCTGGCCGAAACGAAGACGCCCGGCGGGGGGGGGGGCTTCGGGTAACAGGGAACCCCAAAATAAATTCGCCCATGCGCAACTTCCTCCAAAGCTGGGGTCCCATGTGATTTGTTTTTCTGGATGTGTCTTAAAACCAGGTCCGCGACCACAAATTGCCTTCCTGATGTCCATTAAAAAAAAAAAACTAATTCTACAAAGGGTACTCTCAAAAGAAGCCTTGGCACATCCACATGCCTCGCAATGGACGTTGAACCAAATCGCAAAGGCCCCTGCCTGGAAGTTCCACCGGTTCTCAGATATACTCGTCCCTACTATAGGCCGGGGGCCCTCCAAAAGTGCTCTGAATCCCACTGTTTCCCGACTAAAATGGGGACACACACCCCAAATCAAAAAAGAACAACCACCAAGGGCTTGACTCAAGGCCTTCTCAAGTGGGTGGCTCGTCTTTCTTGAGGATTTGGGACCCTCCAAGATGGCTTTCCGTTGGTTTCCTCTTAAAACCAACCAAAAAGTGGTTAGGACACACGCCCAAAATCATAAGGTCCTAAAGCCTACGCTCCCCCCCCCGGCCATTCCGTTTTTGCTGCTGCCCAAAGGGACATTGTTTGGTAATGAAACCAACTTGGAACACCTAAAAGTCAAAAGGTCAATTTGCTTTGGCCAATGCTAACAGGTATGCAGTCTAGAGCTGCACGGTTCCAACAAAAGGATCTCTTCGACGTGAGGCCGGACAACCAATAGAGGCTTGTTGGGAAAAAACACACCGGTGTACCTGTTCATAGATTCAGCCTAGTCATTTCCACGCTGAACGAAAGTCTCTCTGCATGTGTGCGCGCGTTCGTGCGTGCGTCCGTGTGTTTTTCGTGCTTTGTCTGTGTGTTCTGAGGTGTCCGATGATTGTTTTCGCATTCCAAGGGACCTGAGAAATAC